AATAAGACAAGTTAGAAGTATTCCGGCAGGAAGAACAATATTATTGAAGAACTTTAATGTTTTAAGATATAATGATGAAACAAAGAAGCAAGATAGTTTTCCTGTTGCTGTGTATGTGAACCTAGACACAGGAGATGACATGAAAGTTTTTACACAAAGCTTCAAACGGTAGTGAGAAACAACTGACTGCGGAAGGACATCCATTACCTTCAGAAGTTACCATAGTATATAATTTTGAAACAAATGCAATAGATTTTAAAGTCGTCTCTGCAAAGAAGTCAGGTTTTACATTTAATGAAGCAGATGTATATTCGAATGAAAACTTCAAAGCTATTGCATGGTTAATAATGACGATTGCTTTAAGAAAATATTTAAATACAGTGACTCAACGATGTCAATAGATGACCTTCGTGAATTTACCATCGACGTTTACAGTAGAAGGTTCAGCAGGATTGCTTACAAGATTGTCAATTGGTGGTATTTGGTCTCGTGAGAACATTGTTATAAAATCCAGTATAAGTGAATTTGCTGAAGAATCTATATTATGTCTTTCAAACTACATGTATTCGCCGCCAAAGCATTATAGTATAACAAACTTTGTCAGTAAGTTTAACATAAGACTTGTCGAACCTTCTTCAATGAAAGATGTTGTGCTACCTAAAGATGGAAAGGATGGACTCATTATTGAGATGATTTTAATAGCATATTAAATGAGCTTGTTCTTGAAGGTCATTCATGATGAAATAACTGTTGTAGAAGATGTTAGCAATTGTTCAGACATTTGAAGCTATAGATGAGATAAGAAAGAAGTTTATGAATGAGGATGTTTATGTTTCATTGACTTTCTCCAGTAACGAGAACTTTTATGAGATAATATTGAAGAGAGATGATTTTAATATGGTGTAAATGGTAGCTTGGCCAGCTTTAGGCGCAATGGGAACAAAAGCATTAGCATTTGGAGCAAAAGCACTTGGGGCTTATGACGCAGTAAATAAAATGAGTGGAGGAAGGGTTTCGAAGACATTAGATGCAAATAAAGGAAGATTGGAGGCTGGGTTGCAAAGAAGTTAAGATTAAATAAAATAGGGCTCATAAATAAAGCATCCAATTTGGTTGCGACTGAGTCAGAAAATGCTTTAGGAAAGGACGATGAGTTTGCAAAACACGCAAAAGACTTTAATGACCAGATGAAAGGTGAAACAATGCATTTAAATAGATTCGATGGAACTAAAGAAAATGTTTCTTCTCCACCAGTAGTTCTTCCGTATGGTCCCTATGGAATGTATGGAAATCCTTACGAAAGACCATTTGACCCATTGACTGGTGGAAGTAACTGGTATCATTACGGCCGAAGAAGAAAGACAGTCAAGTTGGAGACAGACGTGAAGAAAGCAACTAAAAAGAAACCAAGGAAGAGAGTTATAAAGCAATGAATTCAACAGGTTAGAAAACGTGTTAGAAAACGTGTTAGATCTAACATTCTAACATAAACATTATTTTTTCACCTCTGACAACGTTTATTTTTATTTTATTTGGATGTAAATGACGAAAACTATTGAGATAACAAACTACAACGGTCATGAGTTCAAGAATTTGTTCTTCGTTCCTCGTGAAAATACATTCTATCAGATACGAGGGAGAAAGGGTAAAGTTAGTTTGAGCGTTTATGAAGGAATGAAGAATGGAAAGTTTATACAAGCATACGATACAAACGGTAAACGTGTTTCATTAGCTTTGTCAAAACTTACTAACATTTATTTTGACAGTGATTTTGACCTATATGAAGAAGAAAGTGAGTCAGAAGATTATGAGCTGTTATGTGAAGCACAGCAATGGGAGGAGTTGCAATACTTTTGTAAGTGAGAACGTTTATTTTTACATTAGTGAGGTGAAGTGGGTGGTGGTTTTGTAAATATTTAAGGTTAAATTAGTGTTGTCGTTTGTGTTGTAAAATATACGTTACCAGTTTTGTAAAGTGTCAAATTCACAAGTATTGGGTAAAGTGAAACGCAGTGCCACAGTACACGACACTTGTATACTAACTAGAGAAAGTTTATGGCTTCAAGTATGACTACAATAGGGTTAACACTGATGATGAAGATATTGAGGAAAATTTATGAGAACATTAGTGAAGTCGTTAGTGAGAACGATAGTGAGAACGTTTATTTTTACATTAGTGAGTTCGTTAGTGAAGTGGGTGGTGGTTTTGTAAATATTTAAGGTTAAATTAGTGTTGTCGTTTGTGTTGTAAAATATACGTTACCAGTTTTGTAAAGTGTCAAATTCACAAGTATTGGGTAAAGTGAAACGCAGTGCCACAGTACACGACATAGGTATACTAACTACCACTATATAATAGTCTAGCAGATATACTATCCCAGTCTATATATTCTGCTTTTTTCAAAACCTCTCTCACAATATTTTTCTTATCTAATGGTATACGTTCCATCTTACCTATAGGTATCTTTTCTTTTAACTCTTTCAATATATTGTTTGTATCTGGTATATGTTTGAGACGGTCCATATAGTTGTCGAAGTCATTGCATATAATCTTTGAGTCTGGGAATATTATATGGCACAAATGGGATATATAGAAACTTCCACCGAACAAATCTACAAATGTTAGACCATTCGGTAGTTTCTTAAGTTCTCTCAATATAATATCTTTACATCTACTCTTATTTCCAAAGAACGGTAACGGTGGTTTTGTAAAATTCATTTATATATAATAATAAAAATGTTTTTTCCTGAAAAGTGACAGAAAAGTGACAAAACATGAAAACATATATAATTTGTGAAAAGTGAAACATTATATAATGTTTTCGACCCAGAAGACTAACAATTTTCCGAATAAAAACTTCATTTATACTAAACATCTTCAGGGCTAGAGGGCGCAACGCGCCTGGAAGCCCCACTACCTTTTTTTTTTTTGAATATTATATAAAAAGTCTCTTTAATATCTATATTTCATATTTTTATCGATTTTAAAAGTTTTCGCGAAAAGTATTCAATTATTTTTGCTATTTGGTCGGGTAAATGTCAGATTTGCGACATTTTCTGATATGATATTCAGACTTTACGTTGATAATAATGCATATAGAACCCTCTTGCTATTGTGTCAAAATTGCGAAACCGATAGCAAAAATATCTCGCAATATCAAAATTGAGATATTGAGTGAATTATGCATTATAGAGATTAAAAATCTGATTTGTGAAAACATCTCATCAGTTTCTAGCTAATTCAAAAATCTTTACTATCTTATTCGATTAAAATGAAAAGGGAATAGTTTCATTATGCTTTAAATGACAGCCTTATAATATAATCATAGTTTTCGCTCAATATGCAGCATTTTTTTTTCGAAATCTATGGTCAATGTCCTAAATACTGATTGCTTTGCATTCATATCTCTTACATTTTCTATACCCACATCACTTTTCATTGCTATTCCTATCTTTTTCATTTTTGTTTGTTTCTCATAATTTCTCAAAAAACATGATAACTTGATATTTGTAAATATCATACTTTATAACGTAAATAAGAACTTGACCTATTAAGAAAAGCAGTAATGAGAGAGAGGGTCAAAGTTGCTATTTGTCACTTTTCCACAAGAATATAATGGGGAAAAAGTTATCATATAGTTGATCTCATTCACTGAGGTGAGAGATGCATGTAGTGTAATTTGATAAACAGTGGGATTGCTGCTCTAAGTCCTAGGTTCGAGACACATTAGCTTCATTTTTCTCTTTTTTATTGACGTAAACTATTCAATTTTTATGTTCTCCATTCAAATTTCAGAATTTTTTTTGCAGATTTCACGCTACATTCGAAGTTACCTTTTGTAACAACCACCACTGCCTACGAAAGACGAAAGTGTGTCACGATTTCACCCGGAAATCCGACGGTTGTTTAAGAGTAAGCACTTTTGGCACCTACTCGCAGTAATGAAAAGAAAATCTGAAATTCATAAAAATTACAAGTTTCTGATGACAATTAGCTTAATTAAACCAGGTACAAGATTATATAATTGTATTTTCTATCCAATTATCCATATAATATCTTATCCAGAAAAAATAACTTGATCAATACCAAATGATTTTTTAACTAGTAAATAAAGTATTTTCTTTACACACACATTGTATATCATAGTTTTTTTTTTTGGTTTCGCAAAACATCCAAAAACAAATATGCTATAAAAGTGACAATTTTAGCAAAACGAAACCCTTATTATAATTATAATAACCATATTCACTATATATTAAATGAATTCTCCAATGACTCTATTTCATAGAATTTCAAATTCAAGTAAGTCTCTTGCTTAAAAACAATTTTTATTTTAATAGTCAAAATGATTACATCAATATATGCATGATTATTGTTAGATCCAATTCTTATTGCATTTTTAATCATGAGGTTTTGAGATGAAGTCGCATATTCAGTGAAGAACAGTGCTGACAGATCGAATTATGAATGTGAAATCTATAACTATAAATCTATATTATAAACACACGATTTAAAAGAAATATAACAGTGATTTTGATAAAATTGCAATATCGAAGTGTATTATTAGATTAATCTCAAATTGTAGGCCCACCATAATCGGTGCGTATAATTAGTCATTGAGACGAATTGGCACAATTTTTTTTAATTCAGACTAATAATTCCATTGAAATAATTCTTTATTAAAACAACCGTACTATGGAATTAACATTTCCAATGGGTAATTTTAATTTTATCATTGTTTTTGTTTAACAAAACACGAACAATGCCATGGAAACTCCTAAATAAGAAAATATATATAGATGGATTAAGTTACGTCGAATTTTTCGACTTCTTAAACAAAAACACAATATTTTAAATGAATTTGAAATACAAATTCGAGTTCAGAAGATTTCATACATTATAAACAGCATGAGCACACAAGTCAAGTCATATTTGTTTGATATTGCTAAAGATATCAGATTTTGAGATTAAATTCAATAGTTTACATTATTATTATAAAATGTCAGAAGAAAAAAACGTCAGTTCTCTGATTGGTCTCCTACACAATAACGCACCACCGTCAACACCAGTTGTTAAAAAGATTGCCGCAGGTCCAATCATTTCTCGCAAATTCACGCAAAAACCACAAATTCCAGATAATTACCTTTCTATAGCAAATGCATTCCTTTTAACACCTGATATGACAGGCCCAAGGGAATCTCCTATTCAGAATGATTCCCCAGAACAAGTTTCTGATAAAGGTGATGTTGAAGTAGTTCAAGAAACTCGTTGCATATGTGGCCTTACTCACGGATCTTCGGTGCAGATCCAATGCGATTCTTGCCAGAAATGGCTTCATGAAGATTGTGTTCATCTGAAAAATTCTAAGGAAGCAGATCCATTTATTTGCATTTACTGCCAATATGAAATTGCAAAAGCTGTCAAGGCATATGTTCGTCAACGTCTTGCTTCATTATTACCAAAAGCTCAACAACTCGAAATTGAAATGCAAAATGGCCGCATTACACAGTACATGCCAATTTGGAATGAACTAAGTGATATTGTCGCAGATATTCAGGAAGTATTAAAGTTAATTCCAGAACTTTTGCGATCAGAAGATGATAAAAATACCATTTAGTAATTCATGGCATGTTTGTTATTGACAGAATTGTATATGTAATTTTATGATGAATAAAATAATTGATTCAATAATTTGATAAATATCTTAGTTTAAATTACCTTATTATTGGAAGTAATGACAATATCGAGCAATAGATAAGAAACCTTGCAAAGGAATTATAGAGTTTATCAAAATATTAGACATTAATTTTTTTTTTGCAATACTTGAATAAACTTTCTAAAAATTCTCATACATATGCACACGCAAATGGAGTAATCGATACCGAAAACAATGATGCTTAGATTAATTTTCAAATACGATTGTTTCACACTAAAGTTCTTGATTGAGGCTTTCTCATATAATACCTTGCACAAACTCACCTAGTATTATACTTATCTCTACTATATGAATCCATATTGCAGAATTTTATTCAATTTATTTGGTTATCTGAACTCATAAACGAAATGAAATTGTTGTATACGTAGCAATATTAGCTATTTAACAATCCATTTTGGCCTAGATTTCTGAAATTCTATCGTAATTGGATTCAGGAATTATTTTATTCGATACGATGCTTTTTGATTTACCTGATTTCACTAAAAATGAAGAGATGGAATTAGGTACTCCAAGTGTTAATGCATTCCCTGCAATCACAGAATGGCGCCCAATTTGTAAAACACCATGTCTATCAGTCAATTTCATTCCATCAATGAAAGAATATTTCCTTAACCATTGGAGGATCCAAGTTATACCTCCAATTGCTGTTTCATTCATCATATATTCATCTTATATCATTTATATGATAATACATTCATTTTATTTACAACATGATTATCATTTAAAGATTTTGATGACAGTTTTGATGCTTCTCTTCGTGATATCATATTATTCCATCATTCTTGAAGGACCAGGCTACTTACCGTTCTATTATCCTTTGAAAATGGCGAAACGAAAGGGAAATCACTCGGACTACTTAGCAGGTGTAGTTTCAACCAAAATGCAAGAAGCATACGTTAGTGGACAAAAAGTACCTACTCGCGTTAACTATTTTAAGTCTGCAAGGAGATATGTTATTCGACCAGACCATTTTTGTGGTTGGACCGGATCATTTATCGGCAAAAAGAATCACAAATTATTCTTTACATTTAATTTTTGGGGATCTATTTACATTGCTTTATTTACAATTTTTTCATATTTTTCGGTTAGAGTTCAAACAAATATTTTCAACAACAATGCATTCTTTCTCGCAATTAGCATAATTTATATACTTCTTGGCCTTTTCTTCTTCTTAATGACCTTTAACTTTGCAATTCTATCGCTTGTGAGGTTTGCAAACAACAAGACCCAGTTCGAGTTAATGAAGAAGCAAGAAGGTCACCCATTCAGGAGGTCCTGCATTGAAAACTTTGAAGATGTCTGCGGACCTCGAAAATACATGTTCTTATGGCTATTTCCTATTGGTGCATTTCATGGAGTTCCAGATGAAGACCTTTTATACGCAAGCACAACTGTTGATATTCTATAATTAACAAAAAAAAAATTTATTTTATTTTATTTTTTCATATTAAACTGTTTATACTATTGCTATTTATAAATTTTTATACGATTGAACTATTAGTGATATTGGTTTGAAGTTTTTTTATATCATTATCATTTCCAAAATTACTACAATTATAATATGCATGTATTATGGCAATTGTTGTAATAAGAAACTGGAAAATCGAAGATATATATTTAAATATTCCATAGAAAAAGGAAATTTAATAGATAATAACTTTTATTATCCATATGATAAGGGATTGTGAACAAGCTTAATCTTCAAGAAGCATTTTTAAGCACTCAATCTTTCTATATCCCTCAAATAGAGAGACCGAGTCGTACTGTTCATAATTGTGATGGAAAATTAAATGAAGTCTTTTGCTTTGGAGGAAGACATGGAAATTGTCTTTAGAAATTCCATCCAATTTCTCTTTTAAGATTGGACTTTTGTTGATGACATTCAATTTCTGTTCCAAACTTACTCTCTTCTGTTTTGTCATATTACAACCTTCAATTTCTATACTATCCTTAATTGGTTCAATCTTTTCTGTTGTAACATTCTTCATCAACTTTTTCATCATCAGATTCAGGACATCATCGAATTTCTTTTCTTCCATGGTTGTCTCTTTGGCAACATCAGCAATAATTGCGCTTTCATCTTCAAGGTCCTCCAATTTCGAAATTCTGTCAAGAAGTTGATCTTTAGCAAAATCTTTCTTGAACAACAACATTTTAAGAGCAGGAATGTTTTTGAAAATCACAGCAAATTCAACTGGTGTCATCTTGAAGTAGTAATCGCAAAGATACTTTTGTGGATTTCCATCGAAAATGTTGAGTAAGTACTGAACAGTTTCATTATTGCCATTCATGACAGCATAATGAAGTGGAGTCAATCCAAATTTATCCTGAAGATTGAAATCATCAGGAGTCAATTTAAGGCTTTTCTTGCACTTCAAAATCTCATTCAAAACGTCAATTTTGTTCTTGCTTGCACACAAATGATGAAAGACCGTTTCACCTTTTGATCCTGTTTGCATAAATTGTTCATAGTTTAATTGAGGAAGAATTCTTGTAAGCATGTTCAAAGGAGTTTCGTATTGCAAAAATGTCTTAAACCTGAAATTGTATTTATGATACCTTATAATTGTCATCAAGATATTGAAAGGATTTCCATTCAAATCTTTTACATACTTATCAACATGATCATAATAAAAGAGACTACAAAAAACCTCCCATTTGTTCTTTTTAACCGCAGTCAAAAGAGGTGTTAATCCTTCAATATCTTTGATATTCGGATCGATGATAGATGAGACTCCTTCAAACTTCTTGAAATCTTTCAAGACCAATACAGTTGCTGGGCAATATGGCGAAATGAAATTAAGATTTGTTCCAGAGTACAGCTTATTAATTTCTTCAGATGTAATTTTGTATTTAATTTTATTGAATATTTTCTCTTTTTCTTGATCTGATGGTTCTGGAAGTTTCGGATTTTTTTGATCTGAAAGTTCTTCTTGGTTTGAGCTAATTTGAGTAGGTTGCCAATTGAGGGCTTCCAAAGAAGTGAGTTTACCCCTAAACCGGCAAATATCTTCTGCTTTTCTTCCTTGTTTATCCTTTAAATCTTTTCCAAAATCAATTCCTGATTCAATCAAATACTTAATGCCTCTTTCCTTATTTCCGAAGCAGGCAAACATCACAGGAGTCTCATCTTTTTTATTCAGTGCTTTGACATCGCATTTCAGTTCTTCAATCAAATACTTTATAATAGGAATGAAATCTCCTTTCATTGCAACATGCAACGAAGTATTTCCATCAATATCTCCCAAATTTGGATTACATCCAAATCGAACTAGGACTTTGACAACATCAAAATATCCAACTTTGCATGCGAGGAAAAACAAAGTTATTTTGCTTTTCTCATATGTTGCATTAATATCGAACATGCCTGGTGCAAAATTAAGTTCATTTCTAATCGCATTTGATCGTTTTTTAAATTCCTCCAAATCAAAATTTTCAACTTCCTTTAATGAAAAAATCGATTTGAAGTTTGGTTTCAGTAAATCATACATATATTGGGCAATTTCATCTGTACTTTTTTCACCGTAATATAACCATAAAAATAATCCAAGTGTTCGATTTCGTCCACTTTTGACGGCCTCGCAGAATGCAACATTTCCAAAATCATCCTTATGCATCATTGTATTTTTTTTGTCATTTTCCATCAGATCAAGGAAACCCTCATAATTTTCAAATTTGAGACAATAAAAGAAAAGCGTTCTTCCACAATTATCTCTCAAATCATAGATATCTTCTCCCCAATCTTCATATTTACTTTTGATATGCAAAAAAGTTTTATATGCATGATAATCTTCAATGGCAAAATAAATAGCAGTTCTTCCGTAACGATCTTTTTCTTTAAGTAATTCATCTAAATCTAATTCTGGATTTTGTTTAATTTTTTCAAATATTTTAATTGATTTTTCAAATGTCCATGATTTGGCAATACACATTAAAAGCGTTTTCCCTGTAGAATCTTTGTCGTTCCAGTGAAATTGTGGGATCAACGGATCTAAATCATCGATATTATTCAATCTGCGTATAACTTCCAATACACTATTTCTATGTTTCTCGAATTCTGGAACAATAATTAATTTTTGTAACTTTTCGATTAAATCAGATTTATTATCAGTTGTAGAGTCATTTTGTTTATTAATGTTATTAAGTCCATTTATAATATCATCTAATTTTTCCACTTCGTTCTCACATTCACTTTTATAAGTCATCCAAAAGACAAGACGTGAAGTAGTGATAAAAATTGACACTTTTACGTTTAATTCAAAAATCGATCTGCTGAAAATATAGAACTCCAAAGTACGCTCCATATAAAAATATTGAATTTTTTTTAAAAAATTTCATATTGTCAAAAAAATTCAAGAATTTGAGAGAAGTATCAGAAAATTTTAAGAGAAATAATTTCCACTTTCAGACATGACTAAAAGTGACATCGGCTATTGATGGGCAGTAATTTTCGGTGATGAGTTTAAATTCAAGAAATAATGAGAGATGGGATCATTACTGCTTTTGAAATCTGAGCATTTGACTGTTTACTCATTAGTTAATTTTAATTCATTGATTTTAAAAAATAAAAATTTAAGAATGCATCAACTATTTAATGCTTTGTTCATGATTAGTATACTCACCTCAATCCGATTTCGTATCATATAGGTCAAATGGCAATTTTTTGTATGATTTGAATAAATTTCAAAATAAACTTATTTTATGTATTCATTTATATAATAGTGCATAATGGGGTCTCATTTCATCATAATAATCATTAGGGAAAACCGCAACCACTTTTTTTAATCACGATTTAAATATATAAATCGCGATTTTTTAGAAAAATCACGACTTTTTTAAAATCGCGTTTTTTAATGAATTGCGATTTTATTGTGGTCGCGATTTTTCAAAAAAATCGCGATTTTTATGGAAAATTGTGATCAAAATTAAACGCGATTTTCTTTATCAATCGCGAACATAGAACAAATCGGAACCATGATTTTGGACCTCATTAAGCGAAAAGGTCGCAATTAAATTCAATAACAAAGCAATTCACAAAGATTTTTTGAATCTAGAATGGCTGTTTATCCATTTTAGACTGCTCACAATATGGTTTTTCTGCATACTTGCCGAAATCAGAGATCTAAAATCAAACAATCTCGATAACAAATACCTCAATCCCACTTTACTGGTCAAAATTCTTGAAGTCTTACTTTACTGCACTAATTAATCATAATTTACCTTTAACTAAAAAAATATTACATAAATCTAACAAAAAAACCTTTAGCAATAAAAATACATTTGCTCAAGCCTATCGGCAACTCAAATCTAAAAAAACTTTTTATAACATTCTTATTACAATTTTTATTTTATTCTTAGTAGTATATATGGAAGGGTTGTGTGACTTTTTTTGTAAATGTAAGAATTCATACAATATAGAACGATTTTGTATCATTTTTTTTAACATATGAAGTAAAAAATGTATGATTCTTACGGTTTTTATTCTTACGTTTTTGAATAAATCAAGATTTAAAAAATTTTCAAAATTGTAAGACATTTACACTCAACCCATACATAATGAAATAAAAGATAAAAAAAATTAACATTAATTTTAAAATAATTTATTTCATCATCTTTTATAAAAGAAGCTATATATAGATGATGTCAGATATTCCGCGATTAATTAAACATTGTTGAATAACTGAATGGAATCAATGGAGTCATAATCAAAGACCTCATAAACAAGTAAAAGAAATTAGAAATAATTATTTTCATGAATAAAAAATAAACTTTAAAAATTCATGTCTTACATTTTTGAATAATTTATTTTTTTATTTTGTATGAAATGAGTGAATCAAAATTCGTGACTGTAAATCAATTAATGAATAAACTTTCACCAATTCTCACCCAGGTTAAACAAGTAGACGTTTATTTTGATGATTACATACAAAGTTTATTTTATAAAGGTAAGTTTAATATTAAACCTATTGCTTTTGCATTTGATGGTAAATTAATCGAAAATTCAAAAATTTGGGAATTAATTCCGGATATTGAATTTATAACAAATATTAAGGATAAATGGTTTAAACAACAAAACCACCTCACTAAAGTTCTTTGTAGATTAATGATTAAAACTGAGGAAAAAGAATTTAACGGGTTTAAATATCATCCGTGTAAAATTTTAGAACTTGGTAACGAAAAACTTCAGAAAAAATTAAACGCAAGACTATCAAAAGATAGAGTTGAAAGAGTAAATAAACTCGCTAAAGGTAATGGTAATGATGAAGAAGAATTTGATGAGTTCAACATTGAACTTTAAGAAACTAATGATTATTTGAATTTATGAAATCAATTATTTGATTCATTCTTTCTTCAATCTCTTCTATTCTTTTTGTTAAATCATCTATTTTCATTAATGAGGTGATTCTTGATTGAGGAATAGATTTCAAACTAACCACCCCCTTTATTTTTGAAATTTTGAATCCATCAACTTTAAACATTTTATTCAATTTACATGTTGTCAATTCTTCAAATAATTTTTTATTATTAGCATAATAGTCATTAAATTCTTCAACAGATGAAAAAATTTTTATTTCAGTAATTGGTTTAACAACGTTTATTTTTTGTTGAACATTTTCACTTTCATTTATTTCTTCCTCCTCTGTTTCATTTATTTTTAAAATCGGTTTCATTTATCATTAAATAAAAATTAGAATATAAGTGATGAAATATATTTTTTAATTAATATTAAATCAGAAATGGCGGCAGGATTCTTTAAAAAATTATGGGATGGAATTAAGAAAGCTGCAGGTTGGGTTTATAAAAAGGTTATTAAACCTGTTGCAAACTTTTTGGCACCAGTAGCGAAAACGGCAGGAACTATCATAGGTGGAGTATTAGGTACTAAAGCAGGTAATCCGGCGATGGGAGCACAAGCAGGTAACGCAATTGGTGGAATAGCTGAAGGAATACTTAATAAAATAGGGGGTAGATAGTGGAAAAATAAATTATTTTAAAATTATTTTTATCTTAGTATCGGTTGTAGTCTTTGATAAACTTTTTCTCCTTTATTTAAAATTTCTCTTATTGGGGCAGCTTTTGGCGTTATTGATTCAGCAACGTCACTAATTGCTTCTTTATTCTTAAATATCCAATTTGCTCCCTTCTTCAATGTTTCCCAAACTTTACTCGCCCCTCTTTTTACTCTATCCCACAGTTTCTTAAATATACCTGCAGCCATAGTTGATTATTTCATTAAAATTAAAAATTCATTTCCATCTTTTAATTTTGATTTTTTTATTTATTAATAAATGACGACTAACTATTTAGTGCCAAACACCAAACCGATTAATGGAAATGTGTTTCATTCATTCGAAAAGATAAATGAAATATTTGCAAAGAATGACGGTAGAAGATATTATAGAGAACTTGAAAGTTCATGCTATGACTCTGATGCTCCATATTTTGATGATAAACAAACTCATTTAAGAATTACAAATCCAGCTCATGATGTGAACCAATTAGGTGACACATATATTAAACGCAAAGTTAAAGCAACTCTAGTTTCAAATAAAGCTTTCACATGTGATGCCGCTTTTAAATGCATGCGTTTATTCGTTGGTTACAAATCATCAAATCAAAGCTTTAAACAATTAGAAGTAGAAACCGAAAGAGGTGATGCCGGTTATCTTCAGATGGATTGCGCCCGTGAATCTTTCGCATTTGCAACATATAAACCAAAATCAGAAAGGAAAGTTAAAAAGTTTGTTCATTCGTTATATAATAATGTTCAAAAATATGATAACTCAGTATGTGGTAAATATATTGACCCTTCAGAAGTTTTCAAGAGAGCAAATGAAGAAGTTAATATCACTTTTGATATGATTATTCCGGTAAATGATTTGTTAGCATTTCAGGCGTTCGATGATTATCCTAAATCATTTGGTGATATCATTCTTAAATATTATGTTTTCAAGGATACTTTAGTATTTTGTCAGGTTGACCCGTTAAGAGTTGCTGATTTACAAAATTACGTTTATGAAAAGATAACTGATGAAAATTATGAAAAGATTATGAATCATGTTTATAAATATGATCGCAAATTCCAACAAATCGGACTTCCTACCAAATTAATTACAAGCTTAGCCGCTACATCTGCTGACGCAACAGTTGATGACGTTATTATTTCATGCACAAAGATGGAAGTTTTAGAGGATAAATGCATTACACCTGGATATGGTTTAATTGAAGAATCAGTTAAAGCAATACCACGTTTATTTAGTAAGGAAGATCCATTCATGATTCCAGCTCAACATATTGACGTTCGTTCACTAAATGGAGGTTGCATCACTCCTGAAGGTATTAGCTCAGATTTCTCATACGCTCTTCATAATGTTACAGATGTTGTGTTAACATTTCCGAAGAATGCAATGCAAAGAACAGTTTTAGAAAATCCAATGCTTCGAGGTCTTCAGGTCACTATAGATTCCAGAAACTTCCCCGATCAAGCGATGACCACAGTGGGCGACATATTCTTTACACGTATGCTTCAAGCTTCTGATTTAGATGGAGTGAATGAATGCACGGAAGAATACGAGGACTCATTAACTAGACCACTGAATGATGATGATGGCAAGCCATTAGCTAGAACATGGAAAGACCAAACTTCATTCTTATGCACTATTCCAGTTCAACGTGATGGAGCGGGTATATTCTTTGATGGATTAGAAACTTTCAACTCACAAGTTACAGTACAAGTGAAAGCTTATCCAATCATTCAGGGTGAAAATGACACTTACTGTTCAAAGGTGACAAATCCTCCTCAGGTTTGGTTTACTAGGACTACATATTGGACATGGACACCGGATGAAGGTTTGAAATATCATTCAACGGGTACACCACCACAGTATAGAAGTTCATATGATGAAATATTAATGAATAGAAATGTTTAAAATTATAAATTTATTTTTGATTAAATGGATTTAAATTCATCCACCCCTTATGAAGAATTAGCAGGAGTATATAATACATACGTAGATGATATGATTAATGAAGCATTGAGTGATAATAGAAATGCTCTATCTAAGGAAAAATTAATGAAAATTCCATATTCTGAATGTTACTTAAATTCAATCACTGCAGCAATTGGTAAACAAAATAAAGGTAAAACATTAACGATATTAAAACAAATTATCATTATTGCTAACACTTCCCCCCATTCACATGTGTTAATTTATATCAACCGTTCAGGTTCACCTTCAGATGATACATTTGAATCTTTAAAGCATTTAATCAAAATTCCAATTATTTATTTATCACAAGAAGA